ATTTTATTTTATTTTATTTTTTGTATTTATCCAAGTAATTTAGTGCGTGTGCTGCGGCGTAAGCCATGTGAAGCTGAGGATCGCTGGCCCGCTTGCGGGATATGCCCTAACGGCAGAATCACATCCTATGAGCGGCCGACAGAGTAAGCAGAAGGATGTAGCTGATACGGCATGAACCTGGATGGTACGAGGGGCTATGAGAAGTGCGAGGATGCATACGCATATTAATTTAAAATTTTATAATGTTAGTCTTTTGCAATAATTATGTGTGCGGTGGCACAAGGTGGTTTAAGGGTTAACCTTAGCACCGGGTGCGGTAGTACGGAAACATTATTCCGAGACATAATATGAAAATGAACATAGCCATGTTTCTGCTACATTCTTCCGCTTGCATGAGATGAACGATAAATGAATGTCGAAAACACTACCTTTGTTTGACTTTAACCTTTGTATCGTTATGCGTATCAGTATGATAAGATATTTATTTTGGTTTTGGCATGTGATTGTATCGTTATGCGTATCAGTATGATAAGATATTTATTTTGGTTTTGGCATGTACAAATAATGATTAATAATCCCTTCCAGATGACATTTCCATTACTTCCTGCGCAATTTGTCTGCTGATTTTGATGATTGAATGACCAAAGTCCTTGTTCTGTATCAAACATTTAAGTGCGATTGAAATAATATTGTATCTGCTGCATGATCACTTACTGGTTGCATGATTGATGGAAATAACCTCGTCTTCTTCGCTATAGGATTACGTGATTTTGCTTTGGTTAAATCATAGGATGGTGTTCTCTTATGCGCTTCAGTTCCGCATTGACAAAGGCAATCTGTGTGTCCCGTACTCTCATATCGATGCTGAACCATATTCAAACTTTCCATATAAAGCTGGAAGGCCATGTGTATGTGAGTGAGATATACGCTAAGCTACGATGCACATCAACCACCCTTATCATTACCGTGAGAATTGGTGGTGTTCTGCCTTCGTGCACTCTGGATTTGTGATTGTGGACATAGTTTTTCGCCCTTTTTAGTTTTGGTTCCATTTGACAAGCTCGTTGTCATTCCGTGGCCTGTTGCGCAATTGAACCTTATTGGCCACGTACATTGTGTTCAAACTTTAGATGGAGCGAGAATTTGAGAGATAAAGAGGTTTTGAATATGTGCCATGTGGAGATCTGGAAATAGCGGAAAGGGCAATGAGATAGCATCCATCCGATTTGGATTTCGAGCTTTACGAGACACGGCGTGGAGCGTTTGCCCAGAGCAGAGATCCAACTTACCCTCCTGCACCCTTCCGCCCCGGGAAAAGGCGCCGAAGGGCCCGACATAGCTGTTGTGATTTTTAAAAGTTATGTACATTGTTGATTCTAGATTTGCTACTTCGCTCAAGGTCGTGTGTGTGCGTAAAAGATCCATTTCCTTAAGCCCCCATAAATAGGCATGACCTCAATCGAAACTGACACAGGAGATTCCAGCGCCGATCTTGAATTCCAACCCCCTTCTTCCAAAAATTTTTGGCACACCCTGATTTCTGCGCTTCCCTAGACCCTTCGACAATCGGAAGCCGATTCCGAAAAGAAAGGAGTGTAGGGCATGAGGTTGGCCATCACAAACTGCATTAGGGTGCGCGCCATCTTGTCCATTTTTGTTAATATGACATTATGTTGTACTCGAGGATATTTGGTGGACGACTTGTCTCATTTGTGACCTTATTGCGCCACCATAGCTCTGTTTTTGGAGTGGTGGCGACGAGTGAACCAGTTTGCTGGCCCTTTGGCTCGAGCATGGACAGATGAAGGCATATTCTTGGGTTCAGTGATGATTGACCTTTCTGATCCTACTCGACATGGACATGTTATGGATGCCCCGCATGCTGCTCTTCTTTGGGTGTTGTGGAAAGCAAGAAATGACGTGGTGTGGTGCAGCAATGTCATTTCTTTGGGTGAAGTTCGAGGGCATTGACAAGCAGGACGAGCTATCACCTCGATTTGTGTCATTAGGTGTGCAGCGATGCTATTTTTTTATGTGAAGTTTGAGGCCAAGCAAGCAAGATATCACCATGATTGGTGTCGTAAGGTGGGCAAATTTGACCTTACTTAGGAAGGAATGGAGTGACTTTTGTTGCACTGGCCGGCATACCCTAAGTTGGTCTGGTTAGAAAGTGTTACTGGTATGTTTACTTTGTGATTCTTTTTTCAGATTGTGTAGTCCTGTGGTTGTATTGGACCATAGTTTTCTTTCTAGATTTAGCCAGATTGAGTATTTATTTGGCTATTCAGTCGTTTGCTTGTCATTGCCATGGCCTGCCTTTACTACTTTTTTCACCCGACTAGAACGGCCTGTCAGTACCGTCCTCAGTGGAACAGAACAATTGGTCATTATTGCTGCATCTGGATCGGAATTTGTGCCAAATACAGATATGATGAGCGGACGTTCTATTCGGGTCTTTAGTTGTAGAAATTATGGGCCTCTCTTTATTGGGTCTGACATTCTTTCAGACTGGGCGGGAATGTAGTCTAAGGTCATAGGGACTGGGGGTCTTCACTGGAATAGAATGCCTGGTCATTATTGCTGCATCTGGATGGAAAATTGTGGCAAATACAGATATGATGAGCGGGCGTTCTATTCGGGTCTAGTTGTTCATATTTCGGGCCTCTGTGACGCGCAAAACCTTACACCCAATGCGTGTTCATGTTTTCAGAGTGATTTGGGGGGCGAGGGGGGCAGAAGTGCGTAATAGGGGTGTGCCAAGGATTTTAGGAAAGTGGGGTGGAGTCCTAGGTCCGACGGACGGCAGTGGGATTTGGATGGTGGTACCGCATCCGTTCATGCGGTATGACTGGGTTAAGACAACCCGCGAGGAAACTGCGGCTCATTTCGCTGTGCGAATCACGGAGTCCGCTATCGACAAAAATGAGTGGTACTGGTCCAATATCCGCGATAATGTGAAATACATCATCGCCCACTGTCAAGTCTGCGCCGTTGATAAAGCGCCGATTCAGCCACCGAGATCGATAGTACCCACGGTAGTTGATCGACCGTTTGAAAGAGCGAGCATGGATACTACCGATATAGTGGTGCCCCCTGGCCCTAATAGTTGCGAATATACAGTCCTATTGGTATTTGTCGACCAGTTCTCGAAATGGATCGAGGCGTACCCTTGTCGCACGCGGCAAGCCACGAAAATCGCGCGATAGGTAAACCGTTTCCTCAGGATGCACCAGGATACGGAAGAAATCCTGACCGACAACGGGGCTGAATTCAGGGGAGAAGTGCTAAGGAATCTGGTCCTCCATGGCGTTGCCATACGGAATACTGCACCCCTCATGTCGCAATCCAATGGACTGGTGGAAAACGCCAACCGGTGATAAAGACAACATTGCGACGCAATATCGCGGCACGGGACCCGAGGCCCTGGCCCGACATCGTTGACCACATCCTGGCGGTCCATCACGGAACGCCCCACGAATCGACGGGGTTAAGCCCATTCCAATTAAGGACCAATAGCGTCGCTTGCGTTTCGATACCAAGCCTCCCCGATGAATCCACACTGAACCGACGACCCACCAGGGCCACGGCTCGGGACAAGGCCAAACGACACCTAGAATTAATGGAACGGTCACTGCCCAGGCTAGCCAGACAATGACAGAAAATGATCGAACTAGTCCAAGGCCGACAGGTCCGCAGCTACGAGGCCCGAAATGGGAATGCGGGTCCGCGGCCCCAGTACAAATTGGGGGACGTGGTGCAGGTAAGGAAATGTGCTCGCTAGGGTAAGCTAGCGCCACGATTCTTCGGGCGATATCGGGTGATCGAGCTCGGGCCTAACGGTGTAGACACCGTGCGTCTTGCCCCCGAGGTCTCTCGCAGTCGATCGGCCCGTCCGATCACACGCCACGTGTCCTATCTTCGCCTCCTCCCCTCTACCCGATCTCCTTCTTCATCGGTCTCTCCCTCTGAGGAAGCCGATGACGACGGCTCTGCCTCCCTGGCATCTCCCTCTTCTTCTTGCTCCCTCTCCGCCTCCCCGTCACCTTCGCCATCGCCATGAGTTTTCTGGAGGAGAGAGCCCTCAATGAAGCATCACTTGCGCCCCGTGATCGATTGACGATCCGGCAGGTCCATCATCCCCGCCTCAGTCCAGATCTTCGGCTTCTTGCACACTTTTTCTGCACGGAAGGCGTGTATGCAGCGGCGGTGTTTAGAATCGAAGGCCGGCCTGACGCGGTGGTACTGGCCGAAGCGGTAGCGGTTCATCAGCGAGCGGTGCCAGGTGTCAGCCGCATATCAGTCATCATCAACTTCAGCGGCGATCTCTCCACGCTCCTTCCCTTACGACATTCGGCGGTGAAGACATCGCTGCGCGCGTGGGCAAACGATCTGGTCGTCGAGTGGACTCAACTGCTGGCTCGTCCCCGGGATACAATCGCGACGTCACGAGCAATCGAATACGACGGCCTCCGGATGTATCAGCGCGATCCGCCGGCGGAACTCCCTGTCCTCGTTCCCTTCCCCCATCCCCAATGATTGTCTCTCCGATCTCCGTTTTTGATCTCCCCTCCACCTTCCCTACCTTCTGGCAGTCCGACATCCATCCTCGCCTCTCCTACAGTCTAAAGCCTCTTGTTGTCCCCCTTCTTCATCCTCCCCATTGGATCCTGTGGCGCGAGGAGTTCGTCGAGCTTGCAGTGTGCTTAGTTGAGGTACGGCCTGGCGTGGACCGGGAACGGAACGCACCCACCTCACATAGAGCGTCCGGAGTTGCTCCTTATTTAGGCCTAGCGCACCAACGTGGAGGGAGAGCTTCTCGCGTTTTTATTTGGAACAGTGCGGACCGGTCATCGGGAGCTTATCGCGCAAGAACTCACAATCCCTGTAGCACAACTGGCGGATGATCTCCCGCTCGACATCATCGCGCAAGACGATGAGCATCCGGTTCCCACGGCTCTCTCGTACATTGACACCTTATCTTCGGTGGTCGGCTTGCGTAGAGGGAGCCGCAGAGCGCATCCCGCCGTCGCAGCAACAATACCTGGATCCCCGGACGGTTCGCGATCATGCCTTCAGCCTTCTTCGGGCACCCCACAGCGGAGCAGTTCGCTGCCATTCGAGAAGAAGAGGAGGAAGAGGAAAGCACCAACAGTGACGAAGACGAAGATGCGCAGGAGGAAGGCGGGGATGTTGACGAAGAGCTCGACGAAGAAGACAAAACCCCCGAAGAAGGAAGCTATAGCGAGCATAGCGAGGGGGAACAGAGCGAAGAAGAAGAAGAAGACGAGGAAGGAGAAGAGGAGCACGAAGAAGAACCTGCTGGATCGGACTGGGAAGCCGTGCCGGAAGAAGCGCTGCGTACGGGTACAGAGGCTGAGGATCCCAAGGCGGCCCGCAAAAGAGAAGAGATCGTGGTCGGGAAGGAGCTAGAGCTCGCAAGCGCGGCGAGTCTGCAGATCCACGACGACCCAAACTGAGATCCGGAGCCGCCCCGACCTGAAGATGGCGACCTCGCGGCCACAACTTCGACCCCATCAGCAAGGCGACAGAGCCGATCCCCCTCCTCCCCGACCCGTCCCCCAGTTCGCCGACGTACCGATACGGGCGATCGGCCTTCGTCCCCGATCTCTCTCTCGCCGTCCCCTTGATTACCTCACCCTCTGCCAGCTCACCACCCCCGTCACGTTCCCCTCCAACCCATTCCCCCGCGACACCTTTCGCCACTTCTACGCCGCTCGCCTCGCTGTAGTAGTGCATCCCCACCCCTCCATTCGATGCGCCGTCCCGACTTTTTGCCTCCATGTTTTGCTCATTAGTGCCGCGTGGCGAGGCCACAATATGACCGAGGTTTATTGCGTGATAACGGGGACCATCCCCGTATGCGAAGACCACGATCGTTTCCGCGCGGCGCTCTTCCGAACTCTCACCACCCTCTATGATGCCGATTATCTCGCGTCCCTCCCTCGCACTGGCAATCGATTCCCCCATTTTCATCGCATTGTTCATTATCGGGAGCTCCAAGAAACTGTAGCCGGGATGGAAAGTCTCCTGCCCCCACTACCCATAAACCCTCCACCTCGCCATGCCGCCATGTACCAACTTCCTTTCCCCCTCCCGGTTAATTACTGATGCAGCAGGTAATGGACGCGTGTCGCGGCGACGGCACGAGAAAGATCCCGTCCTTGGATCGTCGAGAGCCCAATCTGAGGAACTAGTAGAAGAGCAGTGTTGCCACGTTGGATGACGACCACACGCAATTGAACGGTAAGTGGCATAGAGAGAAGTGCTCCGCGTGTCGATTGATTAGAGGAATCGACACGCGTCAACAAGCAAGCAGGAGCTTGCTAATATTGGAACCCCCTGGGCATCACATATGTGACAAATCATTTTCTGTAACGCGCGATTTTCTGCGCGGTTGCAACTAGGGGCCCTAAGCTGGGAAGGTTGGGCCAATTACGGGAGATCGGGATCGGTGGAAAATTGCATCAGTGTCCTTGCTTTTTCGTCTTTTTCGTCGCTTCTTTTCGAGTGACTGGGTTCGGAGCTGGGTGCGACCTGGGAGGGTCGGTTGATTGGTTGGATGGCTGGCGCGCCACCGCGTGCGCGATTAATAAATGTTGACGTCGTTTCTTTCGTTTCGGTTTCGACCTTTTAGGCGCGGACATCGCGCGGGAATTTGCTTCGTTCTTTTTGAATTTTCTTTTGAGTCTTTTTTTTCGAATTTTGTCGAGCCCCGATGGCTCTCGGAATTTCGGACTTTCCTTCTGGAATTTGTGCCTTTTGCTTTTTCGCATTAGATAAGAATTTARGAATTCAGCAATTAGGATTTTCCCTGCCGCGCAGCGCCTTCTGTCTAYGCGCTTCTTTATGCGGCTGCAACGATATTCTGATTAGTAGGCGCCCTTAATCGTGTGTGTAACTGTAATTTTGGGCGGGCGCCATTGTAACTGTATCTTTGTTCTTGCACTTCGTCTTTCCCGCCCTCCCTCTCTTTCTCTTGCTGCGATTTTCRTAAGCGGCGCTTTGCATGCTCGGATCGATGCGTGGAGAAGGGCTACGTCCCCCGCGCCGCAGCCCAATCATGCAGAACGCATGCGCTCCCTCTCTAATYCCCGCTCTAAGTCYTGGTAATTCCGTGTTCTTCGCGCATGCATGCACGCTATAAATTTCGGCTGCGCGATTAGTCAGCTCTCTTAACCCGTTGTTGGAAGCTCGGGGTTGCACGATCAGGGAGGGTCGACACACGAGCGAAGTAAGATGTGAGTAGAGTAGGAGTTGGGCGACCCGACGGGCTGGTGCCGAACGYGCGAGATAGACGTGGGCCACGACGGACTGTGGGCACGGACGAATCTGACGGGTGCGGGAGGACTAAGCGGGGTGACAACTTCGTGGGTTGGTGAGTGACGACGGACTATCCGCATCGGAGAAGAGAGAGAGAGAGAGGAGGAGAGAGTTGAGGTCGATGGACGCGGATTTGCTGTTTCTTTGTCTCTTCCCCCTCTTCATCTGTGTACATACATTTTGATTGCGGCTCCGGGCGGTTTTGCCCGTTCTTATTTTCGTTTCGGCTTTCTGGAATCTGGACTTGGGTTTTCGCTCACACTTGTCCTTGCGATGTCCGTCTCGACTGCATTTTGTATGACTGCTGAATGTATGGATGCTATGCTTGCTTGTCTATCTTTTTGAGAATCCTTGTCCTTGCTTTTGTTGTGTCGAATCTTTGCCTACATCTGATGCAGCTGTAGATGGGATAAGGATTTGGCCCCGATAGCGATTTTGTTCTCATTTTTGCTTATTTCACGATTGGGTTGTGATATGGTTGCATCTTGCATAATCGAAACCTACGAAGCAATTAGACGATCTGATGTCTGGCCCCGCGAACGCCGCGCGACAACACGTGTAAACGCGATCCGAATCGCGCCATTACACGCATCCCCATGCGTCGATTCACCCACCCTTAGAGATTCGCGGCGGAACCGTCATTCCATACGAGCACGCTGAGGCGCAACTAAGTTCGCCTGTCTTGCACATGCTCATGCGAGGTGACGATAACCCGGCCCGAGTTATCCCGTACACGATGACACCATGACGCGATCTTGGAGCTTAGACTCATCCTACGACTCGGATTATTTCACCCCTTGGATAAACGAACTCTTACGGTAGCGATATCCCTGTCACACGGAGAATCGACTATGTACGCGGGAATTCCACTGCGCCACCTCTAGCGACCCCTGGTGCTCTGATTTCCCTTCCACCCAGGATTCGTCGTCATCACCACCAGCTTCCCTCCTTTTCGCCTTCTTCTCCCGTATCATCAACTCAGCGTTGTTCCGTGGCCGGCCATAGCCCCCTATTGGCCCAGCACGCCCTGCGGAAATTGCCGGCGTAGCGGCGAACGGAGAACCCCGGAATTCTGAAGGCCCAACCCAAACCCACAGCGGCCTGCGCCACGTGGCGGCTCCCGACGGCCCAATTTTTTGGGACCGCCTCCTCCTCGGAAGGACTTCCCCGTAAACCGTCGCCCACAGTACGCCGGCCCAATCGGGCCTTGAGCCCCTTGCGCACGCGCCCCTTATTCGCCTAATTGCATTCATACCCCTAAGACTCCCCCACTCTTCCCAAAAATCCTTGGCACACCCCTTTTTCGCACTTCCAGGCCCACACCCCACTCCGATCAGGAAGTCTTGCTGGGCGTGAGGTTGGGCGCCACAGTTCTGGGTTTGTAGGCGTTGGATTTGTAATTGTGGATACGCACTTCCCGCCGTACTCGCTACTACTACCCTTTAACGAGTTAATCGTCATCCCTTGGTCGGCAGTGGCACCCCATTGGCCTAACACCTTGTGTAGTGATTGCCAACATCTCGATCACTACCATTCGAAGGGGTTCTATTACCGAACGCGGAACGAGGACGAGCACAAGGAAAGGGCCACGCGATTGAGACCATCCACGTCGGATTCAAAGTTGTGTAGCGTGCGGCGTCGGGAACTAGTGCGAAAACGGGACACTAAACACGTGCCCGCTCCCTTCCACTCCAAACAACGAGCCGTGGCCAGGTGGGAAGTCCGACAGTACTTTTTGGATTGAGTTCAAAACTTCCCGCGTCACGAAGCCCGCGCGCACCGAAACCCGCCAGATCGCTCACCTCATCAGACCAACACGGGGGATTTCAGGTCTGTCTGTGTCCCTACACTCAACTTTCCAAAAATCCTTGGCACACCCCATCTTGCTGTTTTTCGGGGCCTCCTTTCCGCACCCTTAGCACTCCGAACGGAAAACAGCGCAGGGCGTGAGGTTGCGCGTCACAGGGGTGCGCTAGGAGTATTAATTGGGGATGGGTAGGGTAGGTGGCCTATCCTGTCAGGACAACCATTGGCTACCACTACCAGCAATCACCGCGGGTCTGGTCCTTGGCCTCTACAACACCCTGGGCAACCAGGCGTATGGCAATCAGTGCAACTAGGCCCCTAGTCTCTGTATAGTAGGGGGAACACCAACCAACGGGGATCTCTTCCCAGCCCACGGGGTAGGCTGGCACCACAGCTGTGGTGCGAGGGCAAGGCTGTACCAGTCCCTCATCACGCTGACGAGGGGTGGGCAGCCATTGCCGGTGGGGGTCAACAATTTGGAATGAGTGCACAGCGAGGTAACCTAGCCTGGTGGGAGTGTGAGGCCTGGGATAGCTCGACAGGGAATAAGACAGTGTTGGATAGTATTAGAGAGTTTCGTTTGGGAGTCTAGGGGTTTTGAGCATTCCAAAAGAGGTTAGTAGTCATTCATATTTTTTCAACCTCATTTCAATTCTTCAATAGGTCTCAGATTGATTCTCAATTGAAGCCGGGTAATGGCCCCTATATCTCAAATGACTTTTGTAACTCTATATGGGACGCTGGGCCCGGTTCCCAGCATGTGCTGCTTCCCACGAATAAACTGGAGCATTTGTCCCAAAAAAAAAAGAAGAAAGAAAAAAAGAAAGGGGTACTAGATGAACAGTAGTAACGCATCCAGTGGCCCAGCTCAGTTGGTAAGGCACGCAACTGGCACTCAGGAGGTCTTGGGTTCAATCCCCATTGGCCTCATGCACCTTCCTGGGCAAGCTTGGCGCCCGCCACCTCGAGATATGCCGTTGGTCCCCCCGAGTGGCATTGAGCAGAGACTGCTGATGTTCATAGGGGGAGGGGACCGGAGGGGAGGCACAGTGACTGGTGCATCGAAGAAGCTCGGTCCTGATGCTACCGGCTGACCCCAGGCCCGTATGGCCCACCTGCTGTAGCAGGTATCGCACCTGCTGGTGGGTGCAGCTCCCGCATGTTCCCTCGTTGGAGGCTTGAGCACGGATGTGGCTGCTACGGGGTTCCCAGTAATACTATAATGACAATAAGAAAGGCCTGAAAGGCCGTCCTGTCCAGATTTGACAGGTAATTGAATTGGTTGGGCTTAACGAATTAGCCTTATTAAAAAAAAAAAAAAAAAAAAAAACAGTAGTAACGGATTAATAATTT